CCTTTGCATCAATACCAAGCAGTGTCATCCTTTCAGATCTTGCTTTTATGACTCGTGCCCAGTCTAGAATGACATTCTCCTAAAGACCATTCTGGGTGTTCTGCCCAAAACCCCACGAATGACAAGGTTTTACAGTCTGACTGGTAGGAAAAGGCACTCTTCTCAGCCCTGTGTCAGCTCTGGGCACTGTTTTCAAATCCTTTCAGATGGTTTTTTTCCTGTGTTGGGTGGTTTCCTGACTTGCATGTTTTGACCAACAGTCTGCTGAATACTGGAGGGAGTTCCTTGCAGGTCTTCAGAGCACTCTGTGTGCAGCTCATTCCTCTCTAGTCTGTCCTGGGAACTCTATCTGCCTTGGTCTCTCAGCTCCATCTCCTCAACTTGGGGAGTTGGCCAGACTGTACCTCAATTTACCTTTCCTTTGTCAGAGCCTGGAAACTTCCCAGGCAGTAAGCTGGGGCAGTCGTAGGACCTACCTTGTTTGATTTTCTTCTCTCAGGGATTGTTGCCCTTCCTTGCCTGATATTCAGTGTCTTCACATCCATTGTTTTATATATTTTGTTTTAGGCTCAAGGGAATCTCATCCTTTATACTCCATCTTGGATGAAAACCCCATTTGGGGGAAAAATGTGTGTGTGCATGTACAGGTGTGTTGTGTGTATTTTTTTAAAGGTATGTGTTGGAGGGGAGTCTAAAATATAAACCAAACTGTTAACTCTGGTGAGTAAGATTACAGGAGACTTCTGTTTTCTTTTCTTTTCATTTTTTTTTTTTTTGAGACAGAGTCTTGCTGTGTCGCCCAAGCTGGAGTATAGTGGCATGATCAGAGCTCACTGCAACCTCTGCCTCCCAGGTTCAAGCAATTCTCCTGCGTCAGCCTTCTAAGTAGCTGGGATTACAGGCGCCTCAGCCTCTCAAGTAGCTGGGATTACAGGTGCCCACCACCACACCCAGCTAATTCTTATATTTTTAGTAGAGATAGGGTTTCACCATGTTGGCCAGGCTGGTCTCCAACTCCTGACCAAGTGATCTGCCTGATTCAGTCTCCCAATGTGCTGAGATTACAGAGACTTCCATTTTCTCCGTTCCATTTTGGCGTTTGATGTTTTAAAAACAAGTGTAAATTACTTTGTAATCAGAAACAAGCATAGAAAGACAGAAAACTGAAAAACTATGAAGGACAAGAGATTTAGCAATGTGAAAAAACAATGCACCTACACTTGTATCAAAAGGAATGAATGGCATTTTGCACATTAACGGCTTTTGGCGACAGTGCCCTGTGCAGAAGCTTGGGATGTCTCCCATGACAGTGGCCTTGCCATCAGACTTTCTGTTCTTTTGCTGACCTGATTAGAGAAAAGGTGTGATCGGGTTGTTTTAATCTGGGTGGGGTGGACTTGTGTTTTCACAGCTGTCATGGTTAGCGCTGAGTGTTTGCTGTTTGCAGATGATCTCTACTGCAGGGTTTTAACTTGTGAAAGGGAAGTGGCTTCCTTCCCCCTGTCCCTCTGCTGGTATTCTTCCCCCAGCTCTCCTGATTTCTCGAGGTCATGTTCACTCCAGGAGACTTCCAGCTGTATTCACAACCAAGACTCCTGGTCCTCTCCAATCGCTGCCAGCTCATATTCCAGAGCATCTCAGACTCCACGGGCCCCAGACCAAATTCACCATCACCCCTGGAGACAGTCTTCTTTCCGCCGAGTCTACATCCCACACTACCATGTGTGCCAACATCTGGGCATTGTGCCACACCCTGACTAGGGTCTCTAAACCACAATCGTTCACCTGCATTAAGTATTTCTCAGCTCTTTTCGTCTGAGATGGGAAAAGTGATGCATGGTAATATAGCCACTCCTCAGGAGCCACAGCTCCGGGGCCACACTGCTAGGGCTTGAATCCCGCTGTGCCTCAGGTGTATTGTGTGCCCTTGAGTACATCTCTGACTCCATTCTTGGAATCTCCGTTTCCCCGTCAGCAAAATGGGGATGGTCATAACTGTCTACTACTGTACGTAACTCAAGTATGATTGTGAGGGTCTCCAGAGATCCATGCAAATTGCTTAGCACTGTGCCAGGTGTGTTGCCAGTGCTCCATACTCGCTTATCTGGTGCCTTCCGTGTGCAGGCTGTGTGAGGAGCTGGGGGGTGAGCAAGGCCCTTGCCTCTAGTGGAGCTGACTCCTGCTGGGGGCTGATAATAAAACAGATCAAGGGATAGGCAGAGAAGAATTGCCACAGGTCACTGAGTGTTCATAAAGAAGTGGGCAGGAGGACCTTCCTTCCTTCCATAGGGTAGATTGGGAAGGCTCCCGTGGGATTGTGGGGAAACAGGCCTGAAGGATAAGGACGTCCACGGCAGGTCCACAGGACAGTGGGTACAGAGGCCCGGAGGCAGGAAGAACACACGGACAAGAGGGAGAGCATGGTGATGAGAATTTGGGAGGGAAGGTGGCCAGGGGACGACTCAAGCAGGCCAGCTGGGTGCTGAGAGCCCTGAGGCTGCTGAAGGTGCCGGCATCATTCTCAGTACAGTAGGGAGGCCACGGGAGGGCTTGATCTGACTCCTCAGAAGACCACACTCCCGGAGGAGTGGAGGACGCATTGCAGGGGTGAGAATGGGGTGGGGAGGACAGAGAGGAGCTGCTGTCGCATTTCTGGCAAGGGCCCACAGTGGCCAGCCAGCTCTTTTGTCAGCGGGGACCGGGAGATTTGGTCTGATTCAGGCTGTTTGTGCACAGCGACGCTTGCCAACGGTCAGGACGGTGGGAGGGAAAGGGCAAGTCAGGGTGTCTGCTAAGTCTCTCTAAAACAATTTTTTAAATTTTATATTTAAAACTGTGAAAAATATATATAGAACATAAAATCTACCATTTTAACCACTTTTAGGAGTACAGTTCAGTGGCCTTAAGGACATTGATGATGATGTGCAGCCATCACCGCCATCCATCCCCAGAACTCTTTTCATCTCCCGCAAATGAAACCCTATCCCCTAAACACCAACTCCCACCCACTCCTCAGCCCCCGGCATCCTCTGTTCTGCCGTCTGTCTCTGGGAATCCGACCTCCAGGTACCTCAGATGAGTGGAATCACATAGCATTCATCCTTCCATGTCTCATTTATTTTACTAAGTCTCTTTGATGGGCTTTGCTTTTTTAAAGAAATGTTTTTCGTGGGGAAAGTCTGAAATCCCAAGTTTTGTATCGGATGTATTAGACTTGGGCTATCCAGTTGAGATGCTGGGCTTTTTTGAACAGTTTGGACATAGCCCAGAAAGCAGGTCTGGGCTGGAGGTGCATGTTTGAGCAGCATCAGCCTGTGGATAACATTTAGATCCAGACTCACTTCGTGTGGCTTTGCAGGTCTGGTGTGATTCAGCAGAGGGGTCTCAAACTCAGGTGGCCTCAGGAACTACCAGGTGGATCATTTATATAGGGTAGGGGGACAGCTGCTGCCCCACGCAACATCTTGTCACCCATAAGAATGAGGCTCCATGTGGCTGTGTGTTCACGTGTGTGTTCATGTAGCTGGCAGCTACATGGACAGCAACTTTTAAATGTTGGGAATGAGTCCCCTGATGCAGAGTCTAGACTCCCGAGAGCCACCTAGGCTAGAAATCGAGGTTTAGAAATGAACAGGATACACATGGAAGGTGATTGAAGCTGTGGGTATGGAGGTAGTTAGCCAGGGCAGGGTGGATGAGCAGAGAAGAGGGTCTGAACCCAAGCTCCACGGAATGCCTGCCACCCAAGAACCAGGCAGCAGAGAGGGGTGTGACGGAGCAACAGAAGCAATTGTGAGACCCCAGGTCATGTGGTTATTACGGGCTCAAGTGAGCAGTCCTGTGTGTACGAACACTCTTAGTGCTGAGGCTGACAAGAGGGCTGGGGTGCGGGAGGTCTGGGGCCAGCCAGGGCAGGTGCATGATGAGCTAGCAGGAGCCAGAGCCCCAGCCAGGGGAGGGCATCTCGCAGCCAGCAACCCGGGGGCAGTTACACCAGAGAAGTGGCCAAGGGGCAGGAGAAATGCCCGATTTTTCTCTCATTTCACTTCCAGTTTCCTGCCTTCGGCCAGACGCACAGGAAACCAGTGGGTAAAGTCAGCATCCTGAGTACAGGGCAGGTCAGAGAAGGGTGGAGAATAGAAAGTGGGTCGAAGGAGTAGAGAATAACCAACACATGCCATATAAATGCTAGTTATTTATTATTTCTTTATTTTTATTTTTTCAAAATTTATTTGTTTATTTTTTAAGAGGGTCTCATCCTGTCACCCATGCTAGAGTGCAGTGACGTGATCATAGCTCACTGCAACGTCGAATTCCTGGGCTCAAGTGATCCACCTCAGCCTCACAAGTAGCTGGGACAACAGGCATGTGCCACCATGCCCGACTAATTAAAAAAAAAAAATTTAGTAGAGGCGGGGGGCCGCCGGGGAGGGAGTCTCACTTTGTTGTCCAGGCTGGTCTCAAGCAATCCTTGCCTCGGCCTCCCAAAGTGTTGGGGTTACAGGCATGAGCCACTGTGCCTGGCCATCTTATTATTTCTGATAAAAACTGTTGCTGAGGAGCATGACTGGTTGTGGGTCTGTGGGATGAGGTGAGGAGGCCCTGCAAGTCAGTAGCTGGCTGCAATCATTCCTACTCAGGTTTGCAGAGCCCGCCCTTGGCTCCCTGCTAGCCCAGCTCACTGCTACAGTTGCTCTCCAGCCGTGCCCTTTCCGAGCTCCTGGTGCCGCTGTCATCCCTCTTCTGAAGGGACATTTGCTCTCCCTGCTCACCTCCTGTGTTGACTCTGCCTCATAAACCACATTGGCCTCAGTTCCATGCCTCCCGCTTCCCTCCCTCTCTGATCCAACGTTCTTCGTTGCTAACTCGCTCTGTGCCTTGGGCCTCACTGGGGTCGATTTCATTTGCTCCTTCCTGCTGTGGAGATTCCTCACTCCCAGCATCTTTAACTACATATATTTGCATCTTCTGTTTTTGTTTTTGTTTTGTTTTGTTTTCAGACTGGGAGACTAGACCTGAAATGAAAGAGTTGGATCCAAAGAAGGACATTTCGGAAGACAAACCCTCTGTTGTTGGGGTGGCCACAGGAGGACCGACGAGGAACAGTGCCAGGGGTCCTGGCTCAGAAGGAGTGTGGGAACCAGGCAGCTGGCCAGAGAGGCGGCGGGGAGATGCGGGTGCCCAGTGCGAGCCACTGGGAATTCCCCAGGGGAACAAACTCTTGGGGGGCTCAGTACCCCGATGTCATGAACTGAAGGCATTTACCAACCAAAGCTGTGTCCTGGTTCCACCACGGCTGGACGACCCCACAGAAAAGGGGGCCTGTCCACCCATAAGGCGTGAGAAGAACTTCTCCAGTATTTCGGACCTCAGTAAGCCCCCCACGCCCTGCGTGGAGAAGAAAACCTATGACTGCAGCGAGTGTGGCAAGGCCTTTAGCCGAAGCTCGTCCCTGATAAAGCACCAAAGGATCCACACGGGAGAAAAGCCGTTTGAGTGCGACACCTGTGGGAAGCACTTCATCGAGCGCTCGTCCCTCACCATCCACCAGCGGGTGCACACGGGCGAGAAGCCCTATGCCTGCGGGGACTGCGGCAAGGCCTTCAGCCAGCGCATGAACCTCACTGTGCACCAGCGCACGCACACGGGCGAGAAGCCGTATGTGTGCGACGTGTGTGGGAAGGCCTTCCGGAAGACGTCCTCTCTCACCCAGCACGAGCGGATCCACACGGGGGAGAAGCCCTACGCGTGCGGGGACTGCGGCAAGGCCTTCAGCCAGAACATGCACCTCATCGTGCACCAGCGCACGCACACCGGGGAGAAGCCGTACGTGTGCCCCGAGTGCGGGCGAGCCTTCAGCCAGAACATGCACCTGACCGAGCACCAGCGCACGCACACCGGGGAGAAGCCGTACGCCTGCAAGGAGTGCGGCAAGGCCTTCAACAAGAGCTCCTCGCTCACCCTGCACCAGAGGAACCACACCGGCGAGAAGCCCTACGTGTGCGGCGAGTGCGGCAAGGCCTTCAGCCAGAGCTCCTACCTCATCCAGCACCAGCGCTTCCACATCGGGGTGAAGCCGTTCGAGTGCAGCGAGTGCGGCAAGGCCTTCAGCAAGAACTCCTCGCTCACGCAGCACCAGCGCATCCACACCGGGGAGAAGCCCTACGAGTGCTACATCTGCAAGAAGCACTTCACGGGGCGCTCGTCCCTCATCGTGCACCAGATCGTGCACACCGGGGAGAAGCCCTACGTGTGCGGCGAGTGCGGCAAGGCCTTCAGCCAGAGCGCCTACCTCATCGAGCACCAGCGTATCCACACCGGCGAGAAGCCGTACAGGTGCGGCCAGTGCGGGAAGTCCTTCATCAAGAACTCCTCCCTCACTGTGCACCAGCGGATCCACACGGGCGAGAAGCCCTACCGATGCGGCGAGTGTGGAAAAACCTTCAGCCGGAACACGAACCTGACGCGCCACCTGCGGATTCACACCTGAGCGCCGCCGTGCAGGGCTCTCCCTGGCGGTGCCCAGGACGGACGTCAGAGGGATGCGCGCTTTGCCAGCAGTGCTGTGAGAAGTTCTCCCCTGGGGTGGGGACTCGGGGTCAGGGGACCTCAGGAATGTGGGGTTGTGGAAGGGCTGGCTGATCACACATGCCCCCTCCTTACTGAGCCTCAGAAAGCAAGCCCCTCGGTGTCGGACGTATCTGGGGACATTTCAGGGTTCACTGTAACTGAGCCGTGGCCGCTGGTAACAGACATCAGGGTTCCAGACTAGCTCTCTGTGTAACTGTCCTACGAGCTTGGACAGGTCACGCCTGCCTCCACATCTCTGTTTCTTCAATGGGAAAGTGGAGCTGGTGGAGGGGAGGGAGGAGGCATCTCCCCCTTTGTCAGAGACACCCTGGAGTCCAGATGCAGCTTGTCACCATCTGCATTGTCTCGGTGGGTTAGGAGCATGAGGGCTTTCCTATCCCTCCACCCACCATTTCCCTGCAGTGCGCGCTGGAAGCCACCAAGCTAGGAAGTAGGCAGGAGTTTGCCGATTGTTTGTGAGGGGAAAAAAAAAATTTTTTTTTTCAGAGTTAGCAAATAACAGTAACTACTGCTTTGAATGCCAAAGTTTCTTAGAGTGTGCTGTTACATTTTTTAAAAATAAAACTTCTAATTAAGGGAGACTGTGTCATTTTAAACAGTCTTCTGTTTTGGCCAGTTGTCTGGTCAAAATCGGCTTCAGTGATTGTGGGAGGGGCAAGAGGGAAAAGAAACAGCAGCAGGTTTGATATTCAGGATTAAATATGCATGGATTCAATAAGTATATATATCTAAGCAGAGACTATTTTTATAGTGATTTTTGCAGCTAAATGGGAAGGCAACTGTCTTAAGTCCCTTCCTGCTACTGTAACAAAAGACCTTAGACTGGGTAATTTAGAAACAATAGAAATTTGTCACTCATGGTTCTGGATGCTGGGAAGTCCAAGATCAAGGCTCTGGCAGATTTGGTGTCTGATGGGATATGTTCTTCATAGGTAGTGCTTTGATGTGTGTCTTCACTTGGTTGAAAACAGCAGACTTCCTCAGGCCCCTTATAAGGGTGCTAATCCCAGTCACAAGGGCCCTGACCTCATGACCTCCCAAAGGTCCTCCCTCTTCATACTGTTACACTGGGGATCATGTTTCCAACATGTGAATATGGGGAGGCACCAACAGACCATATCAGTAGCTTCAAGTGAGTTTCCTAAGGCCGATTGAAGCTCTGTTTACACAGGAGTGTTCCCCAAAGTGTACTTTCTCTGGGGCCTTTTAGGCCATCCTTTTTATTTTACAATTTGATACTACTGGTTGCTAATGTCCTGGCATTTCCAGTTGTTCCACACTCCTTGACACTGGTGTACACGAAGAAATAATACAGAAAAAAACTATATCAGCAAGCACATTCTGCAAGTAAGAAAAACCGCCACTCTGACATGTATAAAAAAGGTGGATCATTTTTCTTTCTTTTTTTTTTTGAAATGGAGTCTCGCTCTGTTGCCCAGGCTGGAGTGCAGTGGTGTGATCACAGCTCCCTGCAAGCTCTGCCTCCTGGGTTCATGCCATTCTCCTGCCTAAACCTCCCGAGTATCTGGGACTACAGGTGCCTGCCACCACACCTGGCTAATTTTGTGTATTTTTAGTAGAGATGGGGTTTCACCGAGTTAGCCAGGATGGTCTTGATCTCCTGACCTCGTGATCCACCTGCCTCAGCCTCCCAAAGTGCTGGGATTACAGGCGTGAGCCACTGTGCCTGGCCAAGGTGGACCATTTTTCAAATTCTGGCCGTCAAGTGGGCCTCAGGGTGGGTTTGATCCAGGCTGTCCTCATTGGAGCCATAGCTCTGGTTCTCTGTGATTCTCTGGCTCTCCCTTCATGAGTTAGCATCATCCTCAGGCTGGCTTCCCGCGTGGGATTGTGGTGGTTTCCAGCAGCAAGTCTTGATCAGACATTGTTTTAGTTGCATCTGTTGTGGGAATAAATGAGAACTTGATCAGACATTGTTTTAGTTGCATCTGTTGTGGGAATAAAGGAGAATATGTATGCACTGCGGAGAATGGGGTGTTACAATGGTCAACAACTATTAGGTAATATGTACACAAGATCTCACTACCCTTTAGTGGCAAAATGGAAGGAGAAGACCTTCTAAGGCCCTTTGGAGAGATGAAATGGCTCATTTAACTCTCACAAGATCCTTGAGGTAGGGATTCATGTACATATCGTACAGATAAGGAATCTGAGGTTCAGTGAGGCAAGGCGAGCTTCCTGAGGGCACACAGCATGGAAGTGGAGGGGCCAGGGTGTGAGCTGGGGTCCACCTGGACTCTGAGGTCCGTGCTCCTTGCCTACACTGGACTACTTCTAGAGATGGACATACTGAATTTCCCAGGGCTTGACTCCTGGCCTTGGTTTCCTGGACTCCCCAGTGTGTGAAGCAGAGATGGGATCGAGGCCGCACCACCACCATCCCCCTTCTCCGATCCAGAGAACCGCCCGGGCCTCCTCGGAGGTCCCTCCTATTTCTTTTCCCTGCAACCCAAGCTGATGTGGAGGGTATTGAGACTCCTCTCGGGGGGATGTTGTGGTACCAGGTGGGTTTCACATCCCTGGTCTCCTGCCTCCCGGGCAAGTTCCCCACTCAGGGCTCCACGTTTCCCCAAGAGGAACCCCGAGGGGGCTGGAATAGCGGCCACATTGATGGAGTCACTTGTCCACCTCTGAGGGGGTGCTCTCATCACCCCCACTCTACAGATGAGGAAATAGGCTCGCAGAGGTTCAGCCAGATGCCCAAGTTCACACAGCTCCTGGATTAAAACCCAGTCTGACTCCAGAAGCTGGACTGCAGTCCACGGCACCATTCCACCCCCCAGTTCCTCAGTTGGGTACTTACTGAAGCCAAATTATATTTACCCTCCTGAAAATGTGGATTCGGCGGGAATCAAGCAGGTCAGGAACCTACTTTTTAACAAGTCTCCTATCCCATACATCTGTCCAAGGCACTATTTGGGGTTATGTGCTGGCCTTTGGGTTCACCCTCACGGGGCCCTGTGTCTCTGTGTCCCCGGGCCTGACCCAAGCCTGGCCTTGAGGTTGTGGGTGCTGGGTGGGGTCTGAATGACCCCTTTACTCACTCAGAGGAAATGCCAGACTCCTCACAAACCCCTGTGTGATGCAGCCTCTCCCACCTCCCGTCCTGCTCCCCTCCTCACTCTGCTCCAGCCACCCTGTGCTTTTGTCCAGTCCCACCGCTGACCCAGCCAACTCCCACCAAAGGGGCCTCTCCCGTCCTGGCCCGGCACCCACACTGAGCTTCCTCAGGTCCATGATGCTCAGTTTTACGTGTTGGCCTGGCTGGGCTCCAGTGCCCAGCAGTCCCATCACACAGTGAGTCCTGGTGGTGCTGAGAAGACACTTTATAGACGTGGATGCCGCCCACGTCAGCTGACTTTAAGTAAACGATTCATTATCTGTAATGTGGGTGGGCCTCATCTAATCAGTTGAAGGTCTTAAGAGCAAAACCAGTTTCTTGGAGAGGAAGAAACTCTGCCTCAGGGTTACAGTGCCAACTCTGGCCTGAGTTTCTAGCCTACCAGCCTGCCTTATGGATTTGGGACTTGCCAGCTCCCACAGTAGCATGAGCCAGTTATTTAAATTAAATCTATTTATATATAAAAGTATACATATGCCATATGTATAATAAGAAATATGAGGTATATAAAAGGATATGTATAAGATATACAGGTAGGGCATGGTGGCCCAAACCTGTAATCCCAGCACTTTGGGAGGCCAAGGTGGGATGATTATTTGAGACCAGGAGTTTGAGGCCAGCCTGGGCAACATAGCAAGACCTCATCTCTACAAAAACATTAGAAAAATTAACCAGGTGTGGTGGCGTGTGCCTATAGTTCCAGCTACTCAGGAGACGGAGGTGGGAGGACTGCCTGAGTCCAGGAATTAGAGGTCGCAGTGAGGTGTGATCGTGCCATTGGACTCCAGCCTGGGTGACAAGGGAAGACTCTCTCTCTCATTCTCTCTCTCTCTCTCAAAAAAAAAAAAAAAAGGTCAGGCAAGGTGGCTCACGCCTGTAATCCCAGCACTTTGGGAGGCCGAGACAGGCCTGAGGTCAGGAGTTTGAGACCAGCCTGGCCAACATGGTGAAACCCCGTCTCTACTAAAAATACAAAATTAGCCGGGCGTGGTGGCATGTGTCTGTACTCTCAGCTACTTGGGAAACTGAGGCAGGAGAATCACTTGAACCCGGGAGACGGAGGTGAGCCAAGATCATGCCACTGCACTCCAACCTAGCCGACAGAGTGAGACTCTGTCTAAAAAAAAAAAGCTATATAGGATATATAATGATATAATAAATATATATGTAATAGCATATATATGATATATCTATATGGGATATATATGATCTAAATAAGGCAATCTATATGATAGGACATATGTAAATATATTAAGTTGTATCACTAATGCGTCTCTGCAGAGCCCTAACTGATAGGGAGGCCCTCCCTGATGACCCTTCTTCCCCTGCTTCGTATTCCCCGTCGCGCGCACTGCAGCCTGTATCGATACCTGTTTTCTTTCTTTGCCATCCGTCTCCACACGGCATTCAGGTAGAGATGTGGATGTTACTGGTCCTGCCCACTATTGTTTCCCCCAAACTTGCTACAGCACAGACACATAGTGGGTGCTCAGTAAATGTGTGTCGAATGAAAGAGTTAATGGTAGGTGCTCAATAAATGCTTCCTGGCTGAATCATGAATAAGCAAGTGAGTTTTCTGAGGCAGCAGCCCATTCCACTCTGGGCCTAATGTAGTCCCTGGAGACCTGGATCTGACTTGGATCCCTCAGCATTTTGTCCACAGCCCCTGTCTGATTTAAAATGTGGGTTTTATTCTTATTCCAGGGAGGTGAGGCCCATAGGTCAGGAGATACCAGGGAGTGAAAAGACAGTTGCTACAGTTCCTGGGAGGAGAGGGCGGTGCCAGGCCCCACAGGGAAGCCCAGGGCAGATCAGGAGGCAGAGGGGCTGGGGGAAGACGGGGGCAGGAGCTTCTCTGTGGCTTCCCTAGCAAGGAGCGGGATTGGCTTTTCTGAGTAATTTAGCGGTTCTGGGGCACAGGGGCTGCCCTGGCTGTCTGGTTCTCAGCGCTGGGTGTTGAGGACAGGTGCACAGAGCCCCTGAGTGTGGGAGCCCAGTGGGGGAGTTGCTGGGTGTGGGCTCTGGATTGGGTGATTTGCTTGTGAAAGGTACGCTGTCAGCAGGGCTGTTTGCTGTCTCTAGGAATCACCCAGATCTGGGAGGGACAGTCCCTCCAAGGTCGGCAAACCTCCAAAATATCAAAGCATCTAAAAATAAAAGGCAGGGTTCATACACCTTTGCCCCAGCCAGAGATAATCCCCTGCATTCGGCCTTAGCCTGGGCAGCTGGAGAAGGCTCCTGACCCAGGCCTTGACTGAGGGGCAGCCTCTGAAGACCCAGGCTGCAGAGGGAAGGCTCTTCTGCTCCTCCCCGCCTGGAATCCCAATCAGAACCGGGGAACCCAGTGCGCCTGCCCCAGAGCATGACGAAGGGGCCTCCTGGTGGACACCCCTGGCAGCTGCAGATTCCTGGCCTGAGAATGGTCCAACTGAGAGGCTGGGCCTCAGCTCACAGCCTCAGATATGGGGGAGAGAAGGAAGCTCTTCCTTCAGAATCCTAGTGCGGTGGCAGTTTCCCAATTACATGAGATGAACTAGGGATCCTCTCCGAGATCACAGACTATTCTATGACCCCTGACAGGCCAGGTGTAGGGCCATGAACATGAGTTATTTGAGTCAAGCAGGTGCACTATCCAACACACACCTTACGGCCCTAATAATATTTTATTATAAATACTATTATTTATTAATAGAAAGTTTATATTGTAATATAGTCTTAAATATGTATATATAAGAGCTATATACATTAACAGGGTTTACATTATTAATATAGGGTAATACTATTCTCTCTTTCGATTGAGGAAACAGGCTCAGAACAGTAATAATTTATTCGAGATCATGGGGCTGAAAAGCCAGACTTTTATGTGCAATGTTTCTGATTTCTAAATGGCAACAAATTTACATATTTATTAAGAAACTCTGTTTTGGGGTCAGGCATGGTGATGTGTGCCTGTCCTCCCAGCCACTCTGGAGGCCAAGGTGGGAGGATTACTTGAGACCAGAAGTTGGAGGCTGCAGTGTGCCATGATTGTACCACTGCACTCCAGTCAGGGTAGGAGAGTGAGAGGCTGTCTCAAAACAAACAAACAAAAAAGATACACGATTTGGGCCTGGACTGGACAGGCCACACAAAATACCCCTGGGGAAGAAGGAGATTTGACTCCTGGCTTGCAGCCTATGT